TTTTCTAATTTGGTTTGATTTGGACTGCTGTGTGGGCAGAGAGGCTTACAGGGATAAAGAAACTTTTCACAGATAATTTCTCATGTGATTGCTAGCAGAAAATAAATTCAGATAAAAAAGAAAAGAGAAACTTAGCTCTGGTAAAAAAGAACTTCCTTGTTGTGGAATATTTATTTAACTAGGCAAAGATGTGTTACATTTGTTTTTATTTGTTTAACTATGGAAAGATGTGTTGCATTTGTTTTTTCCTTGCCTGCCTAAGGCACCTGATTGGTCTAATAAAAAGATCAACGGCCAGTTAGCTAGATAGCAGAGAAATAGGCAAGGCTGGTGGGCAGAGAGAATAAGTAGGCAAAGGAATCTAGGCACAAGAGAGAAAAGAATGAGGGAGAAAGAGAGGAAAATGCCAGTGGTCAGCTAGGAGGGCAGTCGCCAGCCAGCCAGTCAAGGAGGAAACAGGCAAGGAGGTAATGCACAATGAAAGAAAGGTAAAAATCCCCAAGTAAAACACAGATGAAGAGAAACAGGTTAAATTAAGTTATAACAGCTAGTGTGGCAAGCATAAGATAAGGCTGAGAGCATTCATAACTAATAATAAATATCTGTGTCATGATTTGGAGGCCATAGAAAGCCTGATACACTTCCTGGGAAGATCCCTGGCATGGGCAGATGAGTGTTTAAGGGCACTCAATTATGTGTGTTATTAGTGAGATCTGAATTTGTATATATGCAGGATCACCTATGTGTGCAGTTATACATGCATGAGGTCAGACAACAGCTTTGTGTGTTATTCCTCAAGTGTTGTCCACCTTATTTTTTGAGACAGGGTTTCTCACTGACCTTAAATTGGTCAAACAGGTTAGGTTGGCTGGTCAGAGACTAGGATTCCTACCATTCTGTATTATGTCTAGCTCTGCTTTGGAAATAGGAGCTTAAGATGTTGAAAGCTATTCCAGAAGAAAAGTCTGTCGATTCTCTGGGTCTAAGGTTCAAGAGCAGTCTGGGCTAAGAGAATGGAGTTCAGGGTTTCTTCTGGGCAGAAAGCTGAGACACAGTCCTGAATAGGACATTATATCACCACACCCTCTTGCTGCCACCATGGCTGAGAGAACACTGAGGAAGAAGAGGCAGGAGGAATTTAAGAGCCAGAGGATGGAGAGGAGCGTGTGAAACACTGTCTTCTGGACAAGGCAGTGGTACTAGTGAGCTCACTGCAGCTACAGTTACCTGCACAGCTCAGGCCAACATCCCAGCAGGCAGCACCAACTGGAGCTTGTGGGTTATAAAAGCAAACTAACAAAAAAATGGAGAGGACATGAAGGTGGGCGAGAGCGTGGGTTGTCTGTTGGGGAGTACCTAGGTAGAGTAGAAGATGGGGATGGCAAGTCACTGGTGAATATGATCAAGATACACTATATACATATAAAAACTGTCAGAGAATAAATAAATAAATAAAATATATGCTTAAAAAGAAACCTAAAACAAAAATTTAAATTACAAAAACAATAACAACAAAAGTAAGAAAATAGGGGGCTGGAGAGATGGCTCAGTGGTTAAGAGCACTGCCTGCTCTTCCAAAGGTCCTGAGTTCAATTCCCAGCAACCGCACGGTTGCTCACAACCATCTGTAGTGAAATCTGGTGCCCTCTTCTGGCCTGCAGACATACATGCATGCAGAACACTGTATACATAATAAATAAATAGATCTTTTAAAAAAAAAAAGTAAGAAAATAAAACGGCAGAGGCTACTGACAAATGACTCATTCATTCTACCTCCCCACATCTAGATCTTTTAAAAATATGATTTCTGGGGCATAGAACTCAGATCCATATGCTTGCAAGGCAAAAAGTGCTTTAGCTATCACCTCAGATTTAAGTTTGCAAATGGATAATACTAAATATCAGTAACTCACATGACAATTTTATCTAGAAACTTTACCTAAAACACTGCACATGGAGTAACTGTCAAAGCAAAAACAATTATTATTGGATTCCACTCATTTTCAAAACTCAGAGCTCATTAGAAAGTCTGAGAATCTGAAGGAAAGTTAAATCAACACTTGCTGGGCAGTGGTGACACAAGCCTTTAACCCCAGCACTAGGAAGGCAGAGGCAGGCAGATCTCTGTGAGTTCCAAGGTAGCTTCCAAAGCTACAGAGAAACCCTGTCTCAAGAAATAAAAACAAACAAACAAACAAACAAAAATAAATGTTGCTAAAGTTTATACTGAAAAAGATTTAATCAAAACTGTCAGTCGGGGCTGGAGAGATGGCTCAGTGGTTAAAAGCACTGGGTGCACTTCCAGAGGACCCAGGTTTGATTCTAGCATCTACATGGCAGCTTACCCCAGAGGACATGAAGGTGAGATGGGGATATGCTGTCAGGGAGTGTCCAGGAAGAGAGGGAGATGAGAAAGGCAAGTCGATGGTGGATATGATCAAGATACACTGTACACAAGCAAAAACTGTCAAAGAATAAGTAAAATGTATGCTAAAAAACTAAAACAAGCCGGGCGTTGGCGGCGCACGCATTTAATGCCAGCACTTGGGAGGCAGAGGCAGGCAGATCTCTGTGAGTTTGAGGCCAGCCTGGTCTCCAGAGTGAGTGCCAGGATAGGCTCCAAAGCCACAAAGAAACCCTGTCTGGGGGGGAGGGGGACCAACCTAAAACAAGGGGGCTGGAGAGATTGCTCAGTGGTTAAGAGTACTGGCTGACTGTTCTTCCATGGGTCCCAGGTTCAATTCCCAGCACCCACATGGCAGCTCACAACTGTCTGTAACTCCAGGATCCAACATTCTTGGCAAAACACCAATAAAAATGAATTTAAAAAACTAAACAAAAAAATTTAAATTACAAAAACAACAACAAAAATAAGAAAGAAAATAGCAAAGTGAGAGAGAGGTGCTGCCATCTCCTAGCTTCTGTGTGCACTGTACATACATGGTGCACAGACATGCATGCAGGCAAAATGCCCATACATATAAAAACATAAATAAATCTTTAAAAACTAACATTCACAAGCATCAAGCAGTTGTCGGCAAAATAATGCTCAAAGTATATTCTGAAACTTTTAAATTACTTCTCAGATGTGTCCCAGGATGCTTCCAAAGAGGAAATCCACGTGACTCATTCATATCCACTGACACTTATGCCATCTTCCTGTTTTCACTAGCTCCTCTATACCTGCAAAAGCTTTCTAATTATTTCAAAAAAGGATTCTCACTAGCCCTGCTAGGATAGTATACAATTCTTTTACCCTGTTTCTAATTTAAAGTAACAACAAAAATCTAAATTTAAGGAACTCCAGAGTCAGAGGAAGAAAGGGTGATTTTGGATCAAACAAGAAACATTAACTCTAATTACAGCACACTCATCAAGCCTAAGTGTCTATCTCCACAGCACATACTGGGCCAAAGCCTTCCAAGTATAGAATAACTGACCACATAGAGTTTCAGCTTCTTAGTAGAAACATTTCCTGGATAAAAGAGACTGAATATGTTTTGCATTGGCTCATTCTTCCTTTATTCCATATTTGGCAGTGGGGCTTGGACAAAAGGCATAGTTTTTCTATTTACCGAAGAACTGAGTGAGTGGGTGAGTGACTTCAGTGCTGGGGCTTGAACCTGGGACCCTGCATATACAGCAACTGCTTTACCACCACTGGGCTCTAGCCCCAGATCAAAAGCATAGTGCTAAAACAAGACTAAAATTAAGGGAGAGGAAAATCTTCCTGATTGTGGTTGATAATAAAAATTGTCTTCTAGGGGTTGGCTCAGTGGTTAAGAGCACTGGTTATTCTTCCAGAGGACCTGGGTTTAATCCCAGCATCCATATGTCAGCTTACAAGCATCTGTAACTCCAGTCCCAGGTGATCTGATGCTCTCCTCTGGTGTCTCAGGGCACCAGGCATGCATGCAACATATTGACATATATTTGGACAAAACACCCATAAACATAAAAATAAACAAATATAAAAATTTTTAAATAATCACTTTAACAAAAATAAAAAAAATAAGAAAAGCTGGGCGGTGGTAGCGCATGCCTTTAATCTCTGTAGTTGGGAGGCAGAGGCAGGTGGATCTCTGTGAGTTCAAGACCAGCCTGGTCTACAGAGTGAGTTCCAGGATGGCTAGGGCTACACAGAGAAATCTTGTCCTGAAAAAACAAAACCAAAAGTCTTCTAAGATGCCCATGTTTAAGGCCCTAGAATTTAGAGAAGGACTTGTCACCATTACCTTATATGGCAAAAGGGACTTTTCCGATGTGATTTAGTAATCTTGAGATGGAGAGGTCATCCAGGTGGGGCCCATGTTATTACAAGGGTGTTTGAGAGGGAGGGGGAGGAGAGGGAGAGGAAGACAGTAAGACAGAGCTCATAGAAAGGGAAGGTGATATAAAAGCAGAAATAAATTTTAAGACACTATGCTACTGCTTTTTAAAAAGTGGGGCCACCAGCCAAAGAACTCAAGGCACACAGCTAGAAAGCTGAAAAAAGACAAGGAAAGAAGAAATGAATAGCACTTCCTAGAGGAATGTCGCACAGCAGACACCCTGGTCTGAGCCCAGTGAAACTTATTTGAGAATTCCAACCTCAGGAACGAAGGATAATAAATCTCTAACTGGTCAGTAAATTCATCTTTGTTACAGAACCAACAGGAGACAAACTGACCTAACCTCTTGCCATCTGCTGCTCGGCCCAGCTGTTTATTCCTTCCTCTGACATCTAAGCATATCAGGCACGAAGTGAGATGTTCTGGACGAGAGAGGAGAGAGAGGGGGTAGAGGTGGAGAGGGAGAGGGGGAGAGAGGAGAGAGGAGAGAGGGAGGGAGGAAGAGAGAGAGAGGAAGAAAGGCAGATGCATGCACACACACAGCCTCAGTTCTGTACTCAAGAACTCACACAAACCAGTGGGCTTCATTTTTTCTCTGCCAACTAACTTAATGCAACTGCTTTCCAAGTAATTGAGCTGATTAGGTGGGGGAAAATGAATTCTACATACCTGGTCATGGATGAGCCCATGATACAGAATGTTCTGCATGTCCCTGCAAAGCCGCTCCAGGCCACCATACTTGGACCAGACATTGGGGCAGTTGGCTGACACCAAACCCTCCACAGTAGTCTTCAAATTACCCAGCAACTGCCAATGCTCTCTCCTGGAATCATACCAATGGTTAGTTAAGTGTGCCGGACCTGATCCTCACCACAACTGCCCTATATCCTGACATTCTTCCTTCTATTAACTTTTCACTTCAAGAAAACTCCACTCTGGGAGTAACATAGTTATACTCAAACCCTCACACTTAAGTGACATATCACAACTATTTGTGATTTTAGGAATGCAACCCATTAAGATCTGTTTCTGAGCTGGGCAGTGGCAGCGCACGCCTTTGATCCCAGCATTTGAGACGCAGAGGCAGGGGGATCTCTGAGTTACAAGTCAGCGTGGTCTACAGAACGAGTTCCAGGACAGTTGGGGCTGCACAGAGAAAACCTGTCTTGAAAAACAATAAAACAAAAGATCTATTTCTGAATAATGATAATACATAGACAAAAAATGAGAACACAAGCTGGGAGGGGGTGGCGCATGCCTTTAGTCCCAGCACTCGGGAGGCAGAGGCAGGCGGATCTCTGTGAGTTTGAGACCAGCCTGGCTGGTCTACAAGCTAGTTCCAGGACAGTCTCCAAAGCCACAGAGAAACCCTGTCTCAAGAAAAAAAAAAAAAAAAAAAAAAAAAGAACACCCACCCACAATCAGAAATCTTTTTTTAAATTTTATTTTCCTGTGTGTGCATATTTTGCCTACATGTATGTCTGTGACCATGCCATGTGCCTGGTAATGGTGAAGGCTAGAAGAGGTCACTGGATCCCCCAAGAGTGGAGTTACAGATGGCTGTGAACGGCCACATAGGTGCTGGGAATGGAACCCAGGTCCACTAGAAAGAAGAGTAGGAAGTGCTCCTTACCACTGATCCATCTCGCCTGTCCAAAGTCAGAAATCTTTTATTATATAAACCCACTGCATTCCCAAGCACTAAGTGGAGCGCAGCAAAGGACAGAGGGTACTTCAAACATATACACACAAATACCTAGATAAGAACACAAACTATGGGCTGGAGAGATGGCTCATAGGTTAAGAGCACTGGCTGCTCTTCCAGAGGTCTTGAGTTCAATTCCCAGCAACCATATGGTGGCTCACAACCAATCGTTATGAGATCTGGTGCCCTTTCTGGTGTGCAGGGATACACGTAGACAGAACATTGTATACATGATAAATCAATAAATCTTTAAAAAAAAAAAAAAAGGGGGGCCAGGCCCAG